TTTATTTTATTTTATTTTATTTTATTTTATTTCATTTTATTTCATTTCATTTCATTTCATTTCATTTCATTTCATTTTATTTCATTTCATTTCATTTCATTTCATTTCATTTCATTTCATTTCATTTCATTTCATTTCATTTCATTTTATTTTATTTTATTTTATTTTATTCTATTTTGTGTTATTTTTTATTTTATCTTATTCTATCTTATTTCATTTCCTTTTTTTTTATAATTTTATTTTGTCTTATTTTATTATATTTCATTTTATTTTATTTGTTGTATTTTATTTTATTTATTTTATTTTTTTTTATTTTTTTATTTTTATTTTTTTTATTTTATTGGATTTATTTTATACTTTATTCGGCCGCTGTGGTGTAGTGGTAAGCAGTGCAAGCTTGCACTCCGCAGCACCTGGGTTCAAGCCCTGGTCAAAGCAACATCGCAAAAAAATATAGAAAAAAGATTTTTTTTTAACAGCGGTCGTCCCTCAGCAGGCAATGGCAAACCTCCGAGTGCATTTCCGCCAAGAAAAACAGCTTCTCAAAATGTTACAATCGCCGTTCGGAGTCGGCGTAAAACTGTAGGTCCCTCCGCTTTGTGTGACAACATCAAGGCGCACGCCACAAATCGGAGGAGAAGCTCGGCCAAATACTTCAGTTTACTTTACTTTTAAAATTTTTGTAATAAAGCTTTCAAAACTGGAAAATAAACTTCTAACATCATTATGTTTATAAAAAATTTATTCGAACCTCTTTTAAAATTATTTTCGTGTAACGCATTACATAAATACTTCTCAGTAAATAGAGAGCCACACTATAAATTCTTTATAAATATTTATTATACAGAAAAATCTTAATTAAAATTGCCCTTTAATTACAATTATTGTATTATCTTGAATTTAAATTAAAATATTGTTTTTTTCTTTTTTAATTTAAACCATTATTAAAGCGGCATAGCTTATGCGTTTAGTCTACAAAATAAATGAGCAATTTAAATTTTTTCAAAAAACTATTACTTACATATATATAAAATATCATTTTGAACGCTCAGACATAAGCTAAATTTTGAATTATACAAAAAGTTACAGACATAATTTACGTAAACTACATGCAAACTTAAAGATACATACATTTATACAAAAATATTATAAAATGAAATAAAATACAATACAAAAATTAAGCTAAAACACAACAATTATTTACACTAAATATTGGTTCATAATTTGAGATTACTTTTTTTTAGATTTGCAAAAGCAAATTATCTTTGTGAGTATGAAATATCTCTATCTGCATATTTTACATATGTATGTATGTGTGTATATTATTAAGTGTTTTCATTACGATATATTTTGTAGTTGTAGTTGCGTAGCAGCCGCGGCGAAAGCTCCGCACCCCATTTCTCCTCCAACTCGCCTAAAGCACCAAAGCGGTCGAAACAAAAACGTGCTTAAAACGGTACCCGCACTCCATTTCTCCCCTCCCACAACACTAGCTGCCATTGCTGCTGGCATCTTTCTTCTTCGGCCGCAGTATAAAATTCAGATTGAAGTTCGTATTCACCGCATAGTAGACATTCGCATTCTTCGGCATTACCAACTCCTTGTCGGGTAGCACCTGTGCCAGCGTATACTGCTCGGGATCCGCCTCGAGGCCGAGCTTCATCATCGCGTTGCGTATGACCTGCGGCGTGCGCTCGTTGTTGCCCAGCATTATGCTCTTATATAGCACGATGCCGTCCAACTCCACGTTCTCCGTCTCATACGTCACGCGTATGATGTAAAAATCGGGCGCATTGTTGGTCTTCGCACCCGGTGATTGCACCAGCTGTGCGTTGATAATCGGCGAGCCAACATTCAGCTGAGAGTTGTTGTGTCCCGCCGCGCTACCACGTACGCCATTTGTCGAATGTGAATGTGACATTTTCGTATTCGACTTCTGTCCACCCGAATTACTCGAGTCCATCGAAAGATTCGACACGCTGCTCGATGCAGACAGCAGTGACGCGTTCGGCGCCTGCGCATCGCGATCGAGTGAATTTTGCCGCGAACTGTAGTGCGAGCTGTAGCTGTTGTTCAGCTCGCAATAGAACTGTGATCCGGCACCACTGCTCGAGTTCGAGGCTATCGAATCAGTCTTGCGGTGACCATTGCCGCCGACACCACCGACGCCCATGGAGTTCGATGAGATCGTCGTGTTCGTAAGCGATGTGTTAATTGAGGCAGTCGACTTGCGCGGCGCTGGTGGGGGCGACTCGAGTTGGCAGGAGAGTGTATGCGCTTCACGCTCGTCCAGTACCAGCATTGAGGCGAACCAACGATCGAAGTTTGGGTCATCGCGCAGGTTGTACGTATTGGCGGCACCCTGTAGCAGCTTAATTTGCGCCAGTACTTCGAACTCTTTGCGCTTCTTGTCGAAATTGATGAGCTGGTGTTCGCCTATCGTATCCGGTATGGCGGCATGTATCATTGTCAGGTCGGTGAGGAAGGTTCCCAGGTAAGGTATAGTGCCGTGCGACGTCTGCGTGCTCTGTGACATGGAACGAAAGTAGAGTTAATTAAGGGGATATGCTAAGTGTGCACTATGCTAATGCTAAGAGGTGTGTTTGCCGTCTAGGTCAGTTGCGTCGTTTGCCTTCGCTACGGTCAATACTGTTTTGGTATTGCGCATGCGCACTCACTTGTTTCTGTATGATTTTCTGCATATGGCGATCGTGCTCACCCACCGTATCGGCGAATTTCGCAGTGCCCTCACGCATGAGTACCTCACGCTGCGCCCAAGCATTGTTGTCCTCCGAAAATATTCTGGCAAGTTCACTGAAAATCTCCATCTGAGTTTGGAAGATAAAAATGTAGGTATTAGCTGCAGTGGCTTCACCTCGAACAAAATTACATTAAATTGATGTATGAAATTGTACAAACCTTTTCTTTGGGTAGCACTGCCCATATTTTTGAAAGTCTGTAAATAGGATTCGACTGCAAGCCCGAAATAATCGCCTTCAGCGAAGAGAAGTTCTTTAGCAACCGCAATTCTTGCGCAATATCAATCCAGGTGGCAATATTTAAAGCACGTTCCTATGAATGAAAAGAAGCAAAATCAGAATACACCCATAAATTATTTTCCAACTCAACCCACTCACCTGTGGTTTAAGTCTTGGCTCAATTAGTATACTAGAAATAACCCTAAAGAGTACAGCATTGAATTGATTTATCGTAGCCACCACTGTTTCTGAGCCGCTTTTATCGCGTCGCGCCCACGTCGCCCCCAGACATTGGTGTGGTATCAGCCGCTTGAACAGCTCCGAGTCCATTCGCGTCAACTGTTCGGCGAAATGTCGCACCGGTACGTGTGGAAAGCGGAATGCCTGCAAGAAGTGAGTCGGGCCACGAAATGCCGGCGCCAAGCAGAGCCCCGCAAATTGTTCTGTGAATTCTGCATTGTAGTGTTGCGGCAACATACCCACGCTCATGCTCATATTCATGCCACTGCCATTTGCATTCGCGGCCATGCTGCTCGGCAGCCAAGGTGGCATGCTACCCTCACCATACACCTGCTGTCGCAGTATACGCTCCAGTCGATGCAATACCTTCACATGCAACTCTGAGCGCGGCAGCCGCTTTGACGCAAACGTTAATATCTGCCGCAGGTTATCCTCATTCCAATCCTCCGGAAAGCCATCCAACCACACATGCAACGCAGAGACTAGAGTTTTCTTATGCTGTTCGTGTATGGACGCCGCCGGATCGTAGCTGACATCCTCGAGTTGTTGATGTTCTTCGATCTCTTGCAGGTGTTTGTCGTTGAGTGTGTCATAGCGTCGTGTGAGCAGACCGAGCACCTCTTTGGGTGTAGAGAAGGTGCGATATGTAGAGAGAAATACATTGATAAATGTCGACTCCAATTCACCATCATCGGTGGCTAACGCCTCGACCAGTCGCGACAATGTGGCCGCCTTCACGAAGCGCACTCTCACCGTTTCCCATTCCAGGTGGCTAATTTCGTCGTCTGAATCCTGTGATGGCGTGCGCAAAACGAGAAGGAGTTAGAGGAGAAAAGTAAAGAAAATTGATTAATGCATATTAATTTGGGCTAGTCAAGGTGATTTCCTTTTAGGCAAACAAAGTTAATTAAAAATTCTGTTCTATGTCGGCTGGTGGTCGGTCCTGCCAGCCTGAGGGTGGGCACTTACATTGTTCGCCGTGGGTGTTGGTCGATGATAGCGCACCTTTTTAAGGTAGACAGTGAAAATTGCATTCTTCTCGTGCTCCTCGCCCCAGAGACGCCACGTGGGCTGCAATGACACATAAATCAAAAAGAAATATGAATTTCTGTGTTTCTTAGAACATTCATTTACTGGTGTGTTTTTGGTATTAAATAAAAAATAGAATGCTGGGGGTAGAAGGTCATGACGAGGTATACAATGGATACATAGGATATGCATAACCTTGTGGTCAGCTGATTAAGTTAGATGACATTTTGAACTGTTTAGGCTATTTTTCTTTTGTTTGCTTAATTTTTATAAGCTATAAAATTGCATTCATGCAGGTGTTGCGCATTTTCTTCCATATAAAGTATGTTCGACAATTGATTTTATGTACATGGAAAAAAATGCCTAGCACCGTCAGCAAAAAAAAATTATTAAAAATCAACGTAAATTTCTAGTGTCTTAAAATTTGCACTTTGACATACTAAAATTTAATGGGCTATAAAAATGCGAACCTAACATTTTTCTAGAAAAATATGAATAAAAAGTTTGCAATTTTCCTGTTCCTATCTTTGCAGTACAACTAGAGGTTTCTTGGATTAATCAACAAATACCAATGGAAACTGATTCTAACAGTGGAAATGAAGATGAGGAAGACACCCTTAAACCCAAGTTGCTTGAAAACTAGAGCCAATTAAAAATTTTCAAGATCAGATTCGGGTTTTCGGGGACAAATCCTATAAGGATCGGCTGTAATATTTTAGTTAAAATAAATTTTGTTCGCCTGTGTTATTTTCTTGTTTGAAGGTATGAGCTTCAATTCTAAACTCGTTAGAAGTTTCCAGCGCATCCGATTCATTTAACACAAGTGATCAAAAACAGACAAAACAAGAGTTAAAGGAAAGCGTTTGTACTCGTATACAAAAACTGTTTCCAGTGCTTGGACTATAATTTTTTGATTTTAGTATTAAAGCGCAGTGTATGGGCTTTCATATCCTCCCACACAGACAACTATATTGCATCAATTTATTGTTTTATATATGCTCGAAAATGTACAAAACTAGAGCCAACCCAATATCCTTACGGTCAGATTCGGATTCTACGGGAAAATCCTATAAGAAGAATTTACTCAAAAGAAAGTTTTTTGGCAGTGTAATGTGCTAGACTTTTATAAAAAAATAATAAACATTAATTAAAAACAAGTAATTTTTAAGCAAAAAAAACGGTGTTCAATTCTCATACAAAAATGTAAGAGTACTGTTAATTTTTTCTGATCCAGTGATCGTATCTAAACCAAATTAGTACGGAACCCCCTCTGAGGCAGTGCACGGACTTCGAAAAAATAAATAGTGGTACATCTTACATGCAAAAATTGGTAGAAGTTGGTAGATTTTTTTTAAAGAAACTATATTAGTTAGTTTTTACTCATTTAGGCGAAGGTGTTGTTACAAAAGCAGCAGCATTTTCGCTTCGGTGATTCTTAATATCAAAGTGATGTCGTTGTTGTAAATCGTAATGTCATAATAAGTAAAATTTGTTAGTGGCATTTATGTTTTTGAACTTCTTTTGTCACCTTATACGAATTCGCCTTGAAATAAATTATATTATTTTATAAAACATTCAACGAAAAACGTACATAAAACTGGGCCCGAAACATGGCATCCGTGATCGAATGAAATACGATTCGAATCGAATTAAATAAAACGACAGCTGTTTTCTCTCAAATATGTTTTGAATTGAAAAAGCGAACTCGTTACCAAAAGCCGTAATCTCAAAAAGAAAATTTCGATTCGAATTTGAAGTCGGTTAAAGGGAAAAAAGCCAAAACTGGTCAAAATTGGACTTTACTTAAAACAGTTGACCACAAGGGCTGGTACATTTGGACTGTCGGAGTAATTGAAGGAGTTAAGTGAGGAGTGAAGAACAATTCGTTTGAATGAAAGCGGTGTTTGATGAGAAATCGATTTTATGTGTAAATGTTTACTGAATGCAGACACTGTGATAGAATTCTAGGCATGGGGATTCGAGATAGTGAATTATGACGATTTTCTCAGTATGATAAATTACAGTATAACTATAAGAAGTGGCTTAATATATGGCATATCATCAATCGATCTGAGGTTCAAAATAGTTTACCTGCAATAACTAAACCACTCCTTTCGAGCTTACATTGTTTTGTATTCGTACGTACTTGTATACAATAAAAAATCTTGAGAAGAAACTGCGAATAAAGCACCCTAAGACCAATTGAAGTCCGCTCGGAAGCTATATCTGTATCTACGAGACTTGTTTGTCAGACCTATGGTTACGGGAGTATGCGCGAAAGCAAGAGTTAGGTACAGAAAGCTACAAAAAACTTCCAAAAATGAATGCGCCTCTTACTTTTACCAGCGGTGAATCTCAGAGCGGCATGGGCACGGTTCTCAATCCATTAATAACCATTTATTCCTGACTGAAGGAATTCGAGGATGATGTATTTGGGAAAAAATTTCCGTCATCCCTTCTCAACTTTGGTTTAGATACAAACCGGTTTCGGCGTTATGCCATCTTCAGTGTCATTTTTCGTTCTCGAAAATAGACCCACCCAGTCGGAAACAACAACAACCAAACAGAATTCTGCGATATTATCGAAGTCTGGGGAATTCGAGAACTAAGAGGTAGCTAACTGTAGAGACCACAGTAGTGGCACAGCACTTAGCGTCTTAAATACCCAAATAGACGACATTGAAACCCGCTTCTTCCATTTGGATGGAAACTATGGACTGGGAACTCTTTGGATAGTTAACACTCGTCAGTTAAAAATATCTAATAGAGGGTTGAGAAATTTTTACCCTTTCCCCCAAAGCTTTCCCCAACTGCCAATGCGGGTCTACATATTTGCGCTCCTAAGCTAACGATTGTTCTACTTTTAATGGCGTCCAGCATACAGAAGAAAATAAATACGCTTATATTTGCCGTAAGAAACTATGTAAACTATTTAATGGAGACCCCATTTACTACTTGAACGAAGGGGAGAATAAACTATCCTTATTATATCGCATAATAAACCAACAAATCTGCGAGTCGTTTTCGTCAGCCAGTTTTCCACCTCCGTACATACACATTACTGCAATCGCCACAAGAGTGCAACATGCATGTGTACATATGCCGTCCTCAAATCACTCAAAGTGCTTGTTATGTTGTAAGGCAGGCGTTAATCTGTGTGACCATTTCACTGGTAGCGTCAGATGCCCAGCATACAAAAAAGCAGCCAAAAACTTAACTTAACTTAAACCACTGCAAGGCGGCTCAGGTTTCGTTCGGGAAGCAATAGGTGGTCTGATTATTTAGAGTTGCTACCTACCCCCAAGTATCGACATAAACAAATTTACTAATATAGTCGAAGACCTCGTCTGCGATGCCCGGGGCAAAGCAAATATTATCATCACCGGTGATTTCAACGCCTGGCCACTCGAATGGGGATGCAAGAAGACAACAAGCAGAGGTAAAGCTCTTATGGAAGCTTTCGCCGCCCTTGATGTCAAACTGATTAACATAAATGATAAATGTATATTTAACAGAGGTGGCGGGAAGTCGGTTATAGTTCTGACCTTTATCCACTCCAGTCTGATCAATAAAGCGAATTGTAAAGTTATTGAGGACTATACTTTCTGTGATCACTATGCAATACTTTTTGAAATAAATGAAACTGGCCCACAGCGTATTGCGACAACCCTAACAGCACGTTCTTGGCAAAGTAAAACCTTCGAGCCCGATCTCTTCGTAGACACTTTTGACACGACCCCAATACCTCTTAGCAGCTAGTTTATCATGCGAAGTAATGTAGTGGCTGAAAAGAGCGTGCGACGCGTCCATGACAAGAACCTTAAACCAAAGATGACTTACTCTCGCCTATTGGTGGAATGGAAAATTTGCGAACATGCGCAAGGAATGCCAGCGCTCATTACGGCTGTATCAAAGAGCGATAGATTCAGCCAGTTTTCACTCTCTCCAAGAATCGTTTTGGCAGAAAAGGAATCTGCTAAAAGTATAAATTAAGAGCAGCAACCCTTATTGTTTTCTAAAGCTATGCGACGATGTTGAAATTAATTTTTGGGGGACTCGCGTACAACGTCGTGTGGGGAAACTCCGTACCCCTGGCCAAATGCCAACTTCTCCCAGTATTCTGGAAAACATAGTTTTTACAGTTTTTCCTACATAACCCGAACTCCATTAGATTTATCTAGTACAGCAACCCAGGCCAATTATCCCCTCCGTTTCCAACGAGGAGGTACGAGAAGTTTGGAACCAGCTAACACTCCAGGGTCTGATTTTATTCCTAATGTGACATTTGAAAAACCGATTAGTCACTTCACTGACATCTCCGCTGCATTGTACAATGCAGGCATACAAGGACACTTTCTTACTATATGGAAAAGGCAGAAACTACTGCTACTACCAAAGCCCAATAAACCATTGACCGACCCTCCACTATTCATGCTGTTCTTTTTACTATCAGGAAGATTCGTAAATGTGTGTCATTTAATGTTAAAGGAGTCCTGGTAAACACAAAACCCGCCACCAAGGACCTGGGTGTCATACTAGATGCAAGGCCATGTTTCAAATGTTGAATACGTTTGTGAAAAAGCTGCAAAAATATGCTGCAGAACAGAAGATTACCTTTACCCGGTGTACTGAAATTGGTATCCCTATATGGTGCGCAAGTTTGCGCTCGAAACTAAGTCCTACAGACGTGGTCTGGCATCCACATATGCATATAATTTGCGCTGTAAAGGTTTCTATACATTTCGTACAGTATCCAAAGAGGCATCCTTTGTTGGCGCTCTACACCCAATAGACCTCTTGGCTAAGGAGACCAATTTTGAGGCATCATTTGAACTACCACTAACTCTGAAAAAGAAAATTGCAAGAAACTATACGCTGTTAAATTGGCAAATGCGATGGACGCAAGTAGCAATGGACTTTGGACCCACCAATTAATACCAAAACTCGAACCATGGATGGTGAGGTAAATTTTCATATAACCCAGTTGCTTACAGGTCACGGAAGCTTCAATCTGGAAGACACTGACACATGTGATACGTGCG